TTTTTGTACTTAGCGTAAATTCACGTTAAACAGCCTGCTTTCAACAGTCTTAAAAAAAAAAATTTAAGAAAATCTATGTTCTTGTTCAAATGCCGATGAATTAAATTATATTTAATACCTAGCTAAAATTAATTACACACATAATATGGATAAAATATAAAATAAAAATATTTAAAATTTCGAAGCTAAGGCCTTAAGGGGAGTGTTGATGACGCCACCCTTCTCTCCTAACTCTAACCTAAAAGACTCCGCTATTCTAATGAGCGAAAGAAACTTGAATCATATCAAATAGAAATAAAATCTATTGCACTAAAATATTTTAAACTTTTACATGATACATTTTACATATTATAGTAGACTTTAAATAAAGTGGCGTTATCAGAAGTACTTATAGGTAATATTTACATAAAGACAATTATATGGTGWTATATAATAAGTCAGTACCTATATAAACAGCACTTGAACGAATAAGCCACGAATAATTTTTACTTAAATATTATCTACTCTAACTTTTATTCAACTAAATCATAATAAATAAAAATGTCACACAAGTCAACAGTTTTAATTATAATTTTTTTATCATTCAATTGTTTKTGTATTCAACCGGGAAATGCTGCAAGAATATTAGCTATAGAGACGTTTGCAGGCAGGAGTCATTGGAATTTTATGAGCGCTGTTCTCCGAGCAATGACGGATAATGGACACAACGTTACTGTTTTCACACCATTCCCTGACGGTAATCGTGAAAATTATACGGAAATAGACATTTCTAGTATGTTTCCAATGAAACATATTGATATGGATATAGTGAGTAAGAGAGAAACATATAGCAATCAATTTAAGCCAATTCCATACCTGATGAAATTAGGTAGACTAAGTTGCGAGATATTGCACAAAAATGAGCAACTAAATGATTTTWTGGCAAACAAATTACAAACCGATTTCGATGCAATTGTCATTGAACCTGGAATAGCRTCAGGTTGCTTATCATACGTGGGAGCAGATTCAAACTTGCCAGTRATTWACACGACTCCGATTCCAATAAATACTTATACGGAACGTATAACATATGGTGAAGTCCATAATCCAGCAACAGTTTCAACAATGTTATTTCGTTCCGCTGTTCCTAAGACGTTCGTTCAACGGTTGACTAATACACTTGTTTTCTTGTACACCAGTGTAATTGTCAGGTTTCAAGAATTCTTACTTCAATCATTCGATTCAAAACCTTATGAGTTAGCAACGATCAAACCTCCGTCATTGGTCTTTATGAACACTCATTTCATAAGCGATAAGCCTAGGCCAACTCCTTCAAACGTTGTAAATATCGGCGGCATTCATTTAAAACCACCTAAAAAAATACCTATGGTAATTATTTTATATATTATC